TATATAATAACTAAAGAAATAATAACAAAACACAATATATGGTTTGAGGATAAAGTATTTGAGTTATATATATTTGGTTATACGTTTGATTTTAACGTTCACCATTTGGATAAAATTATTATTACATTAATAAAAAAAGAAAAAAATAAATACTTTAAAATAATAAATAAAAAAATTGGGCCGAGAAAAAAATAAACACTTTAAAATAATAAAAAAAAAAAAAAGAATTCGGCCCGGGAGACGCTGGTTTTGAATCGAGTTTAAGTTTATAATTTTGTGTTTTGTAACTATAATGGTAATATTTTAGTTCTGAAACTTTAATAGTGATGATTTAGTATTTTTTATATGATGATATTTTGGTGTTTTAATGATTTTTATATTTTATTAGAAGTGTGATAGTTTTGTATTTTGATATTTTATATAAAATTTAATTTAGTGATAAAATATTATAATCTTATACTATATGTTAAGTATTAGAAATTTATAATTACTAATAGTATGTTTGGTTGGTCGTTCTAGCCTAATTGGGCACTGTACTTTCAATTATTTATTCAAAAATTTTTTATTTATATCTCTTTTCAATAAACAAATATATTTATATACATTTAAAACTATTTATTTATTTGAAAATTAATCTATTTTAATCATAAATAAATATTTATATTTTTATGTATTTGTATTATATAAAAATTTATTATCTATAAAATAATATCTATATTGTATATATTTTATTAAAATATAATTATTAAAACAATTAAATTCATATTTTTTTTATCTTTTTAAACTTATATATATTACATAATAAATTAAATATTAATAAAATAAATAATTAATTAAATATTAATAAAATAAATAATTTCCAATCCAACTTCCAACTCAATAATCAATTAACCAAACACAATAAGTCACCAAATTGTCGTTATAGCGGGCACCCATGTTGCCCAGGTGATATAATGGTCCGGTGGTGCCATGCTTCCAACCTCGCCGTGACAACCTTGCTACGCACAAATTGAGTAGTGATTGAGTGCTCCAATAAGGCATCAAGAATGCAATCATAGTCTATTTCAAAATGTTTTTCGGATTATCTACAATATGAAATGTAGTCTGACTATCACAATAAAGAAGCATAGAGCGTGTATGAGATATCCCGAAACAACACAATAAATTCTTAAGAACAAGGCCAGAGTGTGTGAGTGTTTGAGTATGTGCGAGAACGACAACCAAACACACACCCTATGATTTCATATGCTGGGTTTATTAGAATAAAATTCATATTAAATCCCTAGATCCAGAGACGGAATTATGTTAGGGGCTAGGGCTCAGTTGACCCCATATCCTAAAATATAGGATTTTGTTAGTGTAACAAATACTAAAATTATGTATTTTTTAATTATTTTGCTCCCTCTATTTTTCAATTTTTTTATTTTATAGTGTAAAAAATAATAATTTTTTGTAATTTTATTGATTTATACTTTTAGGTTTTAAGTTTTTTAGTCAACTCCAATCAAGACAATAAATTGATTTGGTGAAAACAGAATAAGTGGTAACAACTTTAATTCAACAATCAACGATAGCGATTACGAACAACAACGAATTAGAAATGGCTTTCTTCGACAAGTTTGAACGCCAACAACTACGGTACCTTCCGAATAAATACAAGAAAAATGCAAAAAGCATAACTTTGTCTTCTTCTAATGCAACCAAAAACATTGTTTTTTTTTTTTTTTTTTCCCAAGAAGACAATATCTCATCTGTTTATACACATTTAACCATTGGATACAAGAAAATATTTATATTCATCTTGTTAAGGTAAGAATTGGGACAACAAAGGATGGATCAGAAATAGAAGCAATTTATGCCCCCAAACCAACGGCAGGAACAAAAACCCCAACTTAAAGAATCTGAAGGGTGAGAGGCCAAGGGGACCGTCGAGGGTAGGCCAATCCGTCCCACTTACCGTGTTACCTTTCTATTTTCATATGTTCCATTTATTATGTGACTTTTTTTTTTTAAAAAAAAAGAATTATACATTCTAATCTTATTTTAAATTATTTATTTTATAATTTTTTTTAATTTTAATTAGACTATTAGTTATTTTAATCTTAATCTAAAATTATTTTTATTACACGATAATTATTTTAACTAATACATGCTTAATTATTTAGTAATTACACCCTTTCCAAATTTCCGTATTTCCAGTAAAGGAGACACCATAGTCGGGACGGAGAGAGTGTTATTATATTAAGTTATTTTTAATTTTTTACAAATGAATTCTTTCTCATTCTTATTATAGATGTTTTATTTCTAATTTATTTGGTTTCATGTATTATATTTTAATATTTTTTCTAATTTTTTAAATTATGTCCAAATTTCAAATATTTTAATTTTAAAAAATATTTGAGCAATTCATACCGAAATTAATTTTATTTTCTTACTTTTATTCTTGTTGTATATGTTTTTTTTGTATTATATGTTGTTCTTTTAATTTATACTAATAATTCTTTTCATTCTTAATATGTATGTGTTTTTTGTAATTAATTTGGTTCTAAGTATTATATTTGAATATATTTTTTAATTTTGTAGATTATATTCAAATTTAGAGTCTTTTGATTTAGAAAAAAAAATATTTGAAAATTGCATACAAAAAATTATATAGTAAGTTTTACCATATAAATTTTTTATATTTTCTATTTTAGTACTATGATTCTTATTGCAATTATACATGTATTTTTTAACTATATATTAGTATTTTTTTAATTTTTTACTAATCATTTTTTTTTAAATTCTTATTGTGTTTGTATTTTTTTTATTAATTTAGTTTCGAGTATTATATTATAATACTACCTCCATTCAACTCTAAAAATCTCATTTATTTTTTGCGTGTTAATCTTTAATATTAATTGTTATATCAAAACGTAATACAAATTAAGAAAGAATTACAAAAATACTTTCATTACTGATTTATAATACTAATAGAAAGACATTTGTACAAAAATTTATACAAATATAAAAATATTTTTAATGTTAAATACAATGGCGAAAAATGTAAATGTGACCCTTAGAGGCGGACGGAGGGAGTATATATTTTTTTTAAAATTTATAGATTAGATTTAAATTTCAAGTTTTTACATTTGAAAGAATATTTGAAGAAATTTATATAAAAAAAAAATATATGGTAAATTTTAATATATGAATATTTTATTTTATTTTAGTATTTTTATTTTGTATGTAATTTTTTAAAAAAATTATTGGATGTGTTTTTTTTTTTTTAATTATTAGTTAAACTTTTTACATTCATACTGTATATATGTATTTTTTCTAATTAATTTGTTTTCGAGCATTATATTTTAATATTTTTTAAATTTTATAGATTATGTTTAAATTTTGAACATTTTGATTTGAAAGAATATTTGGAGAATTCACATAGAAAATGAAAATAAGTTTAAAATACATTATTTTTATTATTATTATTATTATTTAATTTTAATAATTTTATTTCTATTGTGTGTATATGTATTTTTTAGTTATCTATTTTTTTTTATACAAATCAATTCTTCTTTTCTTTTTTTCTTATTTTGTAAGTATCTTTTGGAATTGATTTGGTTATACATATTATATTCTAATACATTTTAAATTTTGGTAGATTTTAAAATTTCAAAATTTTTATTTAAATGAATATTTTAGGAATTCATGCAAAAAATTATATTAAGTTCTAATATACAAAATATTTATTTTTATTTTATTACTTTCATTCATACTGTATGTTTAATTGTCTATTGTGGTGTTTTTTACTAATCAAATTTAGTTTAATTCTTATTGTATATGTGTGTTTTTTTTTCTAATTGATTCGATTTTGAATATTATATTCTTATATAATTTTTACTTTTTGTAGATTGTGTCAGAATTTTGAGTTTTTTTTTATTATTATTTGAAGGAATATTTGAAAATTTTATATGAAAAATTATAGTAAGTTTTAATATATAAAATTTTATTTTTATTGTAGAACTTTTGTTTTTATCGTATGTCTTTTTTTAATTATATATAGTGTTATTCTTGATAATTTTGTCCTTTGACTTTACATATAAAGTAATTATACGAGTAATGTTATATTTGTAATTTAAGTAAATGTTAAAGGTATTATGATATTATTATATAATTATTTTTACTGAAATAAAAAATGATACTTTTGAGTGACACAAACGAAAATTTGAATTGGGTGTGTTTGTTTGGGAGTTTGGATTTGAGTTGAGATTTGAATAGTAAAAAATTTAAATTGTAATAGTTATATGATGTGATATAAATAGGTATTGATGTAATGTTTTGAATGTAAAATTGATTTTTAGTATAATATAAAAAAAATAAAACATAGATGTTTGATTTGATATTTTTTCAGGAAAAAAATTGAATGAATAGTAGATTTAGGGTAAAATCCCCCAAGCAAACATAAGTTGGGACAGAATGAGTACATTGTGTATTTTTTTTTTTTTAATACTCCCTTCGGTTTATTCCAAAATACCTTTTTGGAAATTTATTGTAGATTAAAAAATAATAGTAGTTTATTTTAGTGAAAGTGCGTAACAAATTTTGATATTTTTGTCCTTTGATTTTATATCTAAATTAATTTTATGTGTAATGATATATTTTTAATTTAAGCAGGTAGTGTATTTAAAGCAATAGGAGAATGAGAGCGACTAGTACCTCGATTTGGCAACGCTGGAGATGAGGTACACCTTTCAGTCCTCATTTCTACAACCTTAACTTGTTTCGGGAGAGTCTCTACTGTCCCAGGAAATGTTCTTTTCTGTTGGATCTTCAGTGCTTCAGCGATCTATCCGACCTGCATTTCAAGCATCTTGGTCAAGGAAGATGTATTTCTCTAGAACTTCTCATTTGTCCGCTCATAATTTCTCCATATCTCCTCCAGACTCAACGGCTGACCGGCTGTTGTGGGAGGCTAAGCAAAAGGTGTCTACAGAAGAAAGTGGGAGGCTAGGAAATACTGTTGCGATTGACAGTATCCCCCCTGATAATACTATGGTGCAACAAAGTGTTGTGGCTAATGAAATTGTTGTTGAGGGCGAGGCCCATTAGGAATTTAGGGTTGAGCCCGCTGAACTGGTGGTGCTGAGGCTGGCTTTTATTTTCCATGTAGAAGACCTCCGTTGGGCTTTGAGCTTGTTTAGATGAACACTCAGCAGCCTGCGGTTGCTCTGATTGGGCTATATAGGCCATCTGCTTCATTGCCTCGGCCTCATTTACTACCTATTTTCCTTTGTTACTAGATAATTTCCGCTTCACGAATTTAGACAGTTACTTCATCTGGACAAAGAGGCTCTCCATCCTTGCATCATTGAAAGCTGTAGCGAGAACCTGGAATAGATCCCTTGATGGCTCTGGCCTGCTGCTCTTCGGACAACTGGTCTGGTTGGCCGCCATCTTCTCTATCAATGCCCTGACATATGAAGCGCATTGACTCATCAGGGAGTTGCCCGTTTTTGCGGCTAGAGACATCCTAAGATCATAAGTTATCCCAGAGTAGAAGTTCTAGAGCTCCATGAAGTCAGGAATCTCATGGTGAGGGCATTTACGGAGCGGCTGCTTGAAGCGGCTCCAAGCTTTGAGCAGGATCTCTTCAGTAGCCATCCTAAAATTGAGGATTTCATTCTTCTGGCTGATGGTCTTTTTGATACAGGATGATATTTGGCAATGAATGACCGAGCTGCTTCCTTGAAAGTGGATGGTGGTGGACTAAGGGAGTCAAATCATTTCCTTGCTTCACCTACTAACAAAAAAGAAACAAGATTAGCTTTGCGGCGTCCTCCAAGATGCCTTGTGCATTTGAAGTAGCAGTGATCTTGTTGAAGTTCTGGATGTGTTCATAAGGGCTTCCGTTGAGCAACCCATGGAACTGGTTCTAGCTAGCCAACCATATCAGTGCCAATTTCAGTTCATAGTTGTCAGTTTCTTTGGGCGCCGTACTTATAATCAAAGCCGCATCCAGTAAGGACTGATAATGAGAATCCATAGGGACCTCATTAGTTGGGCGATTTACAATCCTGTGTTCCTGAAATTGCCTCTAGTGGGACTCAGCAATAAGTGGAGGTGGAGTGTTGTTGGCAGGATTCACAACGCGTGAGTGGCTTGGGCCGCTTAAGTAGCAAATAACATAGCCTGAGCAATCTGGGCCTGCTCAACCTAAATAAGGTGCGCTTGCAGCCCAGCCATTCCCTACTGCATCCTCGCAAGCGTCCTTATTAGATTTTCTTCAGTTGAAGACAGGACAGGGGGGACAACAGTTGGTTGGGCCATAACATAAGTGTTATGCAGCACCTTCTGCGAAGAAGCAGATATGGCAGTGTTGTTGGACGTCCCAGCGGCAGTAGAAACTGGAACAGCGAGAAAGGGGCAGCAGAGTTTGTAATGTTGCCCATCAGTCTTTCTCTAGTAATCTCTCGAAACAGACGTCTCCGTGTACAGGAGGATGAATTAGGACTAGTCTTATGTTGCGAACGTCTAGGACCCCTGAATTAAATTTGCCAGATCCAGCCAACAAGTTAGAATCCAATTAAAAACATAGCATTTGACATAATTAAAGTAAATTATGGCGCATAACTCAAATATTCCAGATATTCTATTTCTTAAAGTTAAAATCCCCATAAACGGAGCCAAATTATGATCAAGCTATTTTGTGATTTATGATTTGTGTTTATCTTTTCGGAAAATATGGATTTTTTATGAATTAAAATCATTTTGAATCTTGACATATGGAAAATGATCAGATATAGAATTTAATGAAAATGATGTTGTTGTAGATCCTAAAATGCTATATCATAATTGATTTTATATACTTTGACTAGTGAGATTCCAGGTCGAACAAAATAATTTGAAGTCATGAAATTAAATCAAGAAATATGACTGAGTCTGGCTAAATAGGAAAAGACGTAAAAGATTGGCTCGCTGGCGAGCGAGCCAAAAAGCAGTAAATTGCAATAACATAAAGAAAGCAGTAAATTGTGAACGGCCGTGATTTCGAGCGAAGTGACATTTTACGGTTGGTGAATGTAATGAATGCGCTGACAAGTGGAACAACATGGGTGGTAGTGAACGGTATATATATGTGTGTGATGGTTGGCGAGGGATGAGTGATAGCGAAAGCAAGTAAATGAGCAGTAATAATAACAGTGATAAGGATGAATAGAGGTGTTTTCGTGTGATATGTTCGTTAATAAAATGACTAGATTTTCATGGTTGAAATGAGCGGGTGATGAAAGTGAAATAGAGAAACATATATATATAATGCGAAGCGACAAAAGTAAGAAATGTGATCATACTTGTTCATTTAGACCAGATTCTTGACTCGCTGGTACTTGATCTTAAGGGATTTACAACAATGCTTCAATGACACCTAGATTCAGAATATTATAAGTAAGAAAAGTTATTGTCACTAGACAATTCTTAGACCTGAGTGCCTATGTCTAATTAATTATTCTGAAAATATGTTTTATTAGTTGTTTTACCCTCCTGATACCTCTTTTTAATCAAAATTAAATTCAGAACAACAATTAAGTAGGTCAACAAGGTTTCCGCGTAGTTAATTACGTTGTACTACCTAAAATATGTTAATGAATACAACGTAAATTAGGCTTTGATAGTCAGTTCTTTTGATTACACTTTCCATAACGAGTAAAATTCCAAATTTAAACAATCAAATACAAACTTGGATTTGGGAATGAAATTGAGAATGAAGAAATCTTGATACTGAATTAATACTAGAAAAATGGTGAATCTAAATTATGAAAGTAGTAACAAAAGAAATAAAGAAAACTATAAATCTTCTTAGAAAGTGACTAAAACTTGGTGGTCAGGGGAGGAGAGAATCTCCACTCCCCCGACCTCCTTCTCGAACTAAGAGAACTCCCTTACAGGATTGGAGCTTTCGGAAACAGAGTAAAATCAGAGTATCACAGTATGATCTATGACATATTATACAAGAAATCTGGCCCTATTTATAAATTTTTTGGATCGACAGTTGAGCAGTTACAGAGCAGCAATTGTGAGTGGTTGGAATGTTATTGCAACCTTCGGGCAGTTAGGCAGTTAATTGGTTGAACGACTGGAACTACCATAACTCCCAACTTGCTTGCTCATTTGCGGGACTGCATTAGATGGGCGCAAATCTTCCTCACTCACGTTGCTACACTTGGTTTGGCTAGAGAGCATCGGCACAACTTAAGCGGCAATGGATGGCTAACCGCTGAAAGCTCCACACTTCATCAAATTTTAGAACTTCTGGATCATCGCTCATCAGCGGTGGACATTTGGCTGGCTGACTGGCTCGAGCGCGAGCTGAAAGAACTTCGCTCGCCACAGCGGCTGCACCCTCGTTCATCTCATTATACTTAAAAGCATTTCTGAGCCAAAATTGTCGCTTAAAAAGGCTAAAAATATCAATAATCTTCATAAGCAAACTTTGGATCATATCAAACGAAACATATCAATAAAGTATACCATAAATCAGATATTGTGATGGTTTTGGCATAAAAATTCAGGAAATACACATTTTATCAAGTGATAAATATGCTATTATTTGAAGTTATTAGACGTCAAAATCCGCAACCGCTACTCTTCGAATGCGCTCTAGGTAAACCCCCGGCCAAACCTAATAATTTGCAAATGGTCATAAATCCACCTCTACACCACCATTCTTTACGGGACAATAATAATATTTTATTAGTTGGTGAAAGTATGGAATAAGTTTTGATATTTTTATAATTTGATTTTATGTATGAAGTAATTGTATGTATAATTGTGTATCTGTAATTTATGTAAAAATTATAAGGTATTTTGGTGTTATTATATATACTCTTTCCGTCTTCAAAATACAAATTTCTACCATATTCTTTCATCCCACTAAAAAATATTTATTTTTTATTTTAGTAAAAATAATCCTATACTGATGTCCAAATACTTTTAATTTTATCTAAATTACAAACATACCATTATAAATATAATTAATTTATATTATATAAAATACAAAGAGTAAAAAGGTCAAAACTATTTTATACATTTCATTACTTAAAATATCATTATTTCGTAAATAATTATAAAACACTCATTTGGTATTCGAACGTATAAAGTATTACTCCCTCCGTCCCGGTCCAAATGGGTCCTTTGAAGTTTTATAGTAAACGAAGGAATAATAATATTTATTAGTTAGTGGAAGTGTATAAGAGATTTTGACATTTTTGCCATTTGACTTTATGTAAAAAAAATAATTGTATATGTAATGATATATTTGTAATTTAGGTAAAAATTAAGACTATTTTGGTATTGGTGTATAATAACTTTTAGTAAAATAAGAAATTGATACTTTTGAATGGGACGGACAAAAATAGTAAAAATGGTATTTTGTGTTGGGACGGAGGGAGTATTTTTCATCAATCAGGATCAGTTGTTGATGGGATTTTAATTCAGTTGTTGATGGGATTTTAATTCAGTTGTTGCTTAATAATTAAAAATCATTATTCTTAATCAATATAATTAATATAAAAGGCGAGAATCAGCTCAAGTCAGCATAGTACTGATTTGACCGGATTAACATATATTATAAGAGTGATCAACAATATTTACACATATCTCAGAATATTTATAATACAACATATATTATATTATAACTCATGCTATCTTCTACACAACATATGTTGATATATGTATAAACGATCACCCCTCTAGTATATGTTGATTCGGTCAAATCAACACTATATTGATTTGACCGGATCAGCACAGGACAACCTAATATAAATATATACTCCCTCCGTTCCGGATAAATTGTCCACGTTATTATAAATACGAAAAGTTAGGTAAAATATAATTAGTAAGTAATCAAGTAGTGTATTAGTAAAAATAATTATAGAATAATAAAAATAATTATAAAATTAAATTTAATTAATTAATTTAATTAAAATTAAAAAATTATTCTCTCCGTCCCACGTACCATGTCTACATTTCCGTTTCTATCTGTCCACATCCCATGTCATTTTTCGTTTTTGGAAAATGATTGCACACTTTAATCTTGTTTTAAACTTTTTAATTTAATTTTTTTTTATTTTAATTAAAGTAATTAGTTATCTAATCTTAATTTATAATTATTTATATTATAGGATAATTATTTTCACTAATACATAATTATATATTAATTATACTTATTCTAAATTATTGTGTCTATAGTGATCCAGACATCT